GCCCATCACACACACACACACAAAAGGCAGTTCAAGCAAAACTGCTTTCACAAAAAAATGTACTGTGACCAGAGAGAACCTTCCAGGTGACACCACTGGGTGCACTAACTCAGAGTTCTTGATGCTCACGTAGTGGAGAAAAGCTCCACTTTGCCAAGCACAATTCTGTTTTGGGGGGTGTACACGCTCATACATATATTACCTGCCAATCTTCTTTATCCCAGTCTGCCACCCACCAACTCTCTCTCTGCACTCTACTTCTCTGTTGGGCTCAATAATCCATTGAAATGGGCAAACAGAACTCACAGAAAATACAATTCTCACAATTATGGCTTTGTTAAGGATGTTAATTACATGACGAGATCAGAAATATCAAGGATCAGTTCTTTTCTCTATAGAATTTATTCTAATCATGTTCACAGGCATTCCCCACTCTGGTCCTTGGTCCAAATTATGCACTCCTTTGGCCTATTTTCTGCTCAGTGCTGACAAATGCCTAACAGATCTGCTCCCCCACTCCCTCCCACCCATTCCTCTTGTCAGTTCTTGGACAAAAACACCTAGCTTTACTCATTCCTTAGGCCAGAAAGCCTACCACTCTGACTCATGGTCTCAGTACTGCTGCCTCTGTACCTGTGGTACCACTACTCCATGCATATTATCTTTGTTCATGGCTCTACTTTCTTCATGGGCATGGCATGTTCTCTTTCTTGCTTCTGAGGTGCCTTGCAAGGAGTTACTATGTTGGAGGCACCCGACTCTCCTAGTTGGGGATCAGGAACCAGGAAGGCGAGTTAAGGAAAGTATGGAGCAGTACTTCTCTAGCCACAGGTAATTCGTGTGGCTCTGGTGCAGTGCTGGGCAGGCAAAGCCCATTATCCTGCTTCTTTCCATACTCAGTGGAGGAAGAGCACTTGCTGGGAGCCCAGTATTGACAAATCCACTCCCCACTGGCCTTCCTCTGAATGCAGGCCTTCAGCCCGAAAAGACCAGAGCTCTCCTAGTGAGCTCTTTAACCCCCTTCATTTTCTCTCTCTTCATTCTGCAGTCAAAAGAGCCCTGTTGCCACTCTAGGCTGCACATTGAACTGTGAAGCACAAGGCCAGCAGTTTGAAACCAACAGTTGCTCTGTGGGAGAAACATGAGGATTTCTGTTCTCCAAAATATTTACAGCCTTGGAAAGCCAAAGAGGCAGTTCTACTCTGTCCAATAGGGTCACTGCGAGTCAGAACTGAATCTATGGTGATGGGTTTGATTTGAGTTGTATTCTGTAGCCATCTGTGCCACGCAAATTCTCACCGGCTTAACAATGCTTTTCTTTCTCAGATTCAGCTTGCTCTCTGCTCAGATGGTTTCCCTCAGTGCTGCCCAACTATATCTCTGTCTGAAACGGTTTCTGTGGACTTGACTTGCCACTCAAACCAATATTTAGATCTGAAGGATAAAGAATCTAGAAGGGTTTTTTTTGCCCATGAAGCAATTTTTATTTTTTTTATTGTTTGTTTATTTGGGTTTTGGCTGTTGTTGTTCCCACCCCTGTCTCTGGTCCAGGTTTTTTATAGTCATCAAATTCTTTCTTTGTTTTAGTTTTTGGGGGAGCACTTACAGATATTGTACTAATCTACATTTCAATATGATCAAGCATAATTGTACAAATGCTACCACCATCAGTTTCAATACATTTTCTTTCTTCTTGAACTCTTAGATATCAGCTTCCCTTTATCCCTTTCCTCTCCTACCATACCCCCAGGAATCCTAGTGATTATATTATATATTACTATTATTTGCCATATCTTACACTATCCAATGTATCTATTCACCTGATTCTGTTATTTATTCCCTCAAGTGGGGTTATACAACCATCATTGCTATCAGCACCCTTTCCCCGCTTTTCCCCACTTCTCTTCCCTCAACTTCAATGAATCATTACCCCCCTGTTTCTGAAGGGTATCTATCTTGGCTTTCATGCATTGAGCACTCTTGATTGTGCAGATGAACATATGCAGGTCTCACAAGATTAATGAGGTAAAACAAAGACCATAATAGTAAGGGGAGGAAATATTAAAGAACTAGAGGATAATTATGAGTGTTATCAGTGCTACAGCACTCCCTAGATTTATAATCCTTACTGCGTGGCCCTTCTGTGAGGAACTGATCAATTATCTTACAGGTGGGTTTTGGGTCTCCACTTTGTTCATGCTTCTTCCTGTCAATTTGATTGCTTGTCTTTGAACTGCTGATATCTGATCTCGTCGACAGCTCATGATCACACAGGCTGGTGTGCTTTTTCCATGTGGGATTTGTTGGCTCCCTGCCAAATGGCCACTTGTTTAACTTCAAGCCTTTAAGAACCCAAATATTGTATCTTTTATTGCCAGCCACCATCAACTTTCTTCACCACATTTGCTTATTTATGTACCCATTTTTGTCTTCAGTAATTGTGTCAGGACAGAGTCTTATCTGTTGTATAGGCCATATTTCTTCTTTGTTTTTTCTTATAAATTGATGATATTAAATGTTTCTCTTTATAAAATTGAGTTGTTGCTAAGCATAATGTTCTCTAGTTTTGTCCATGTCTTGCAGCATTTTAGAGAATTATCAATGTTTTTTACTGATGCATAAAATTCTATATAGTATGAATATAACAGATACTGTTTATCTATTCCTGTATACTGGGGGTTTTGAAATGCTTCCTTGTTTTTGCTATTGTGTAAATTGCTGTGATGAACACAAATGTACATATGTCTGTTTGTGTTATATTCTTAATGTCTTTTTGGCAGATGCTGTATCATAAGGTACTTAAATTTACTTTTGTTTAAGGAAATGATTTCCATAGTGGGTATACAATTCTACAATTCCACCAGCAATGTAAAAGTGCTCCTATCTCCCCACATCCTCTCCAGTATTTGTTATTTTCTGTTTTGTTGACTCTTCATTCCAACTATTTATCCTCTCATTTGATGTTCCAAGGTGGAGCACTTTCATCTGTTCATATCTCACTGGGGTTTTAGAGGAACTGGGACAACTGGATACCACTGGATATACCACTTGGTATCCAGTGTGTGTCAACTGGATACCACTTTCCTTTTTTAACACCCTTCACCATTCTTCACTTCATTTTAGTACATCCAATTTTCCTAGATGGATAGGTTGTACATCCCACATTCTGATTCTTAATAGACCTTCACTCATATTTTCTGCTCATTTTCAGCTGTGTTTCATCAGTAAATGAAGGTCCTGAAAGCTTTACTAATCTATATTATTAACACTGGCTCCATTTTTAGGAGGTAACACTTTTCTAGTCATATTATCAATGTCTTCAAGTGCGAAAGGGCTCATCTCAGGTATTATAGCAGATAATGTGCTTCTGCTCGTCACCTTTTCTTTTTGAAATTGATCGTCAGGCTCTCCTTCCCAGGATTTCTTAGTCTAGACTTTTCTACTGAATTCTGTCCATCATGATGATATTTGAACTACCATTGTTATCATTCATTGTTATCATTGATTGAAGTTAGACCCTATGCTAATCACTTCTTGTTATAAATATCACAGAAACACAAATCACCACAGTATGACAAACTAACATTGCATCTTAGTCCATTTGGAAACTTGATTTACATAGTTGGGAGCATAAAGCTGCACTGATATATGAGTATGTATGCATTTATTCAACAAATATTTATTGAAGACTCACCTGTGCTCATGTTAGTTGATAACAAATATGGTACCTGTTCTACTAGTGGAGTTTGTAGTTTTGTGATAGGAATTGAGGAAGCAGATAACAAGCAAGTAAGTAGAAACAATAAAACAAGATTTCACTTTGTGAAAAGGATAAAGAAAATAAAAGTGTGTCATGTAATCCTGGGCTAATAGATGTTTTAGAAGTGAGGGGCAATCAGGGTGGACTCCTCTGAAGTGGTGACATTTAAATCGTTATTCATGTTGACAGAAGGAACTGACCATGTGAAGTCTGAGAAGAGGTGTGCTAAGGCTAGGAAGGTACAGTGAAACACTGAGGTAAAGAGCAATAGGGAAGTCATGAAGAATTAAAGTGAAGTTGAAGAGGTAAGAAACATTGAATGAAGAAATTTTACATGTCAAAAATAAATCTTGATTTTATTTTCACTATAGTAGTCAGAAGAATGACCTCGTTATCTATTGCTTGCAAGTATATCTTTGACTACAGTGTAAAATTTGCATTAGGGCAGATTGTGGCAGGAGTCAGGAAGTTCATGCAGGAGGCAGGAGCTTCATATAGGTGGCTATGTGATCTCAGTGAGCATGACAGAGGTTTCAAATCCCAGAAGTGAAGAAATGCATCATTCTTCCCTTCTTCCAAAGCCAACCCCCAAAGGGAAACATCCCCAAGACACAAGGACTAGTGGTTAGAGATTGTGGAGTGCCAGCTTGTGGTTCTCCACAGAAAAGGATGCTCTGTCTGACAGCATCTCAACAGGGTAAACTTCTTAGCCCTGGAGATGTTCACCTAAAGGCAATTAATTCCCCTTATAAACACACAAAATATAAGGCTACGTGAAGAGGCAGGGTTGAGAAACCTTAAAGCCACAAATTCTTATCCTGGTGCATGAGCAGGCATTAGGGGCTTCCTTCGATAAATGTTCTTGTAAAATAATGGGCTTGTGTGGATAAACAAATGAAGAGATAACTTTTTCCAGCATGGTTGGGGTAAGGGTTGTTTCATAATACCTCACTTCACTTATCGGGAAGAAGTTAGCATAACTTTCCCATTTTACTGCAAAGGATAAATGGCAGCTAAAACTCCAAGAGCACTTCATTTTGAAAGTGTGCTAAGTCTTTATCATCCTTGATTATTTTTTTAGTAGACTAATAAATTTTCGACCTCTGAGTTGCATTGTACATTTCCAAGTATTGATCAATTATTAAATTTTGGAAATGTCTTTTAAATGAGCTGATGACCATCTTATTTGCAGATAAGTTAACACTGTGTGGGTAGTGTCAGGGTATGTGTGAGTACTTACTATAAGAGCATCCGTAGACCTCAACTCGCATGCCAATTTTTCCTCTTTGATTCCATTGCAGGGGAACAAAGCGAATAAACTGGGCCCTCGCTGGGTGTAGTAACTTGTGGTGCACCACACTGTCCGCATTCATGTTTCCTGCAAAGGTCTGGAGAGAGAAAGAGTAGGCTGGGTGAGACACCTGATGCTCCCTCTTTACCAAGTGAGCACTGAAGAAAGAACCACAGAGATGTATCCATATATGTTACTCCATGACATTTTTCAGAGAAAGTCTCTAATTCTTCAGATATTTCTAAAGAAATTTTATTTGTGTGATGTAGGATGACTTTTCTTGAAATGCCGTGCAATGATCGTTAAGAAATCATAGATCCCAAAGAACTTTATCGATAAAGCAATCCTAGTAAGTCGTGGAGAAGGACACCAAGCTTGGTCAAGCCCAAGAGGAAGGGCCTCAGAGGCCATGGATTGACCCTGTGGCTGCAGCCATGGTCTCAGGCACAGGAACAATTGTGAGGATGGTGCAGGATACGGCAGTGGTTCACTCTGTTGCACATAAGGGTCGCTATTGGTCAGAACCAACCTGATGGCACCCAGCAACCAGAAGCTAGTCTTAAGACTTGAGATGTGAATATAAGCTTTACAAAATAAAGAATACCATGAACTTCCACTCTTTCTAATGTTCATGCCCACAATCAGAGTGGCGTGGCGTGGCAGGTAACCGAAAATCTCCTCTTAGAAAGAAAGACTTTTAATGATGTAATTGTTATCATTCATTGAAGTCAGACACTATGCTAAGCACCTCTTGTTATAAACATTACCATTCTATAGATTAAAAAGGGAAGTCTATGAAGAAAAATAAGGAGGAAGGAAAACATATTTCCAAATCATCCGACTGTCTCTGATTCAATTTCTTTTTACCAAAGGCTGTGGTTTTTCAACAGCAACTTCCACTCCCCACCCTCTAGCTCTACTTTTCTGCTATCTCATTGTTCATTATTAAAGGAAGGATAACAGGGTTCAAATGTTTGGGTAGCTCATTTTCACATATCCCTGTGAAGTTTAAGCAACACATAGAATGGGTCTATTTTAGGAATTGAATGCATATCCCGTCACCTTCATTGGAAGGGTGGTTTCTGAGGGAGAATATTCTTTGCAGGTAGAACTCATAAGCCCATGTCTACTCTGTAAGGTAGAATGCCACCTAGCACACTGATTTGCTTGTTCTTTAATTCTTAACTGTTCACTGACAAAGCATGCTTGCTGATCAGTGTTCAACAAAACCAAAATATGATCTATTGGCGCCTTAAACAACTAAAGCGCATATTAAATTGTTTATTTAGTGAAATCAATTTTCAAAATCCAATCTGACCCTTACTTGTGTACTCACCAAACTCAAACCAAAGCAGTTTTGAGACCATCAATGACAAATCACTGTCAGTACCAATTCATGTGGGTCAGAGTAGAAGTGTGCTCCATAGATTTTCATTGCCTGATTTTTTTGGAACTAAATTCTCAAGCCTTTCTTCTGACACTCCTTTGAGTGAGTTCTAGCCACCAACTTCTTCAATAGTATACTTAAACTGAACAAGCGATAATTGCTCCAAAAGGGAATTGAGAAAACACTTTAATTTTTAAGGAAAGGGTATGAATTGCCAGACTGGTTTCAAAGTATGGTCCATCTGTATGTTGTTTATATGATACATGATTTTTAATAATAAAAATACTGAAAGGCTGAAAGTAAGAAAATAGGAAATGATATTACTAAAAATATATAGCCTGAAGAAATGTGAAGTTGTTCTATTAATATCAGACCAAGTGAGTTGCCAGATCAAGAACATTACAAAATGTGCAAGAAAGACATTTCAAAATGATAAAGGGTCAATTCATCATGACAACATAAAACCTTTAATGTTTATGCTTCTAAAATAGGCATTCAAAAGACAGGAAACAAAACTTGACAGAGGCAAAAAGAGAAGAAAACAAATCCTCAATTATAGTTGGCTCTTGTTAGTACCCTCCCTTAATAGTTGATTGATAAGCAAGAATAAGAACAACACCTGAGTAATAATATAGTTTCCCAAAGTGGGTGATTCCGTGTCCCCTGGGAGCCACTGGAATGATCCTAGAGGCCACTGGAGTGATGTGGGGAAGAGGGTGTGTGTACATATGCAGACACAATTCATCCTCAATCATAGACTATAGTACAAAAGTTTTTAATTGCCAGGAAGTGTTTTGTTTTGTTTCTGAAAAGAGGGTGGTAGACCAAATATGTTTGGGACCCTATGGTATAGAAGATTCAAAGATATCAGTTCAATCTGCCCAATTACCATTTCTAAGACACCCCACATAATAGCTGCATATGATTTTCAAATGCATATGGAACCTTCACAGAGAGACACCACATATCCTAAAACCACCCCATTGCCACTGAGTTGATTCTGACTCATAGCAAAATTATAAAGGGTTTCTGAAGCTGTGACTCTTCCCAGGACCAGATAGCCTCATCCTCTCCCCAAGGACCAGCTTGTTGTTCTACATCACCAACCTTATGGTTAGCCATCTGAGGTAGTTTATTGTGCCATCCTGGCCGATAAACACCTGTGGGGTTAATTGAAGGGCAGAGGGATAAATGGCTTGGTGAGCCTCACCTTTCAAGTTCTCGGGTCTCTTGCTCTCTGATGGTCAGACTAGGGTGCAGCTGCCTTAGCCAGTTCCCTGCTTCAGCTGGAAAGACTCACTTCCTGCAAGACATCCTTGAGGAGAAGCCACATGGACCTACCCTGATGCACCCTTAGGTGCTGGAGCAGCTGTGTGGAGACCCCTGCCAGCACTGAGATGCTTACACGTTCACTGACTCGGCTTTCCTCCTGCAGATGGCATCATTGCAACTGTTTTGTGAGATGGAGGAGGACTTTGTGGATTGGTGTAGGACATATGGGTTAATGTTGGACTTGTGGGTTTGGCCAGCACTGGGTTGGGATATTTTCTTGATGCGCACTTAACCTTTATATAAAACTCTCTCTTATACATGAGTTGCTGTGGATTTGTTTCTCTAAAGTACCCAGACTAATACACCATCCAATGCTAGATACATAAGATAAAGTCATTGTCAAATAAAGCAATATTATTTTTTGAAGCTGATGGAAACTATATTAGGACACAATAATAATAAATTAGCTAGCAAGATTTCAACTATCTGGCAATAATGAACACATTTTACAGAATCCATGAGTTAAAGAAATTAGAATGGAAATTTGAAAATTGTTTAAAATAAGTGATAAAAATTGTTTATTATAATTTGTGAAACACAAATTAGTACTTAAAGGAAAATATATGACTTAAATGGCTTTTGTATATAAAGGAAGATTCAAACTTAAAAACCTAAGAATCCACACAAAATCATAAGGGAAGAATTAATTCTCAGAATATTAATAAAAATGTTACTCTGTAGTAGAAAGTAACACATTATTGATACCTACAACAAAACATTATGTTGAGATGGCCCTACTTGATAGTCACCTTCATGAAGTGATCATTGAGGATAAGGGTGCTATAGTAAAGTATGGTTGAGAAAGCAGATGGTGCCCAGCTATGAGAAAGAATAGCATCTGGGGTCTTAAAGGATTGTTTTAAAACAAGAAGTCTTCTAAGTGAGATGTCAATGAAGTCTATATGGAAGAAGCACACCTGCCTGTGTGATGTAGGACCATAAATGCTAAAGTCCAATTCTAAGGAAAGGAATGTATTAGAAGTTAAATTGTAAATGTCAGGTTTACAGAAATCCATGGATGACAGTGGACATTCTGGAACCATTTGCAGGCTCTCCACAAGGCTTCAGTCTCCAGTGAATCTCCTCTGAACATAGCCTAGAGATCTGAATAGCCTTGTTATCAGATATAGAGCACTGCAAATTCAAGTGTAGCAGATGTAATTAGGTTAAAATGTAATACCTAGTGCTTCATCTTCCTGTTGACCTACTTCCTGCTTTCTTTCTGATTGAGGTTTTCTGTTTTGTTCTTTTCTGTAATCCTTGTTGCTTGTTGCTTTTACTCTTTTCTTCTTGTTTGTGTTTTATATGACTTTCTGTATATGATAGCCAGGATAGATAAATCAATAGAGACAGTAACTAGATTAATAATTACCT